CTCGAAAAGGCAGTTTTTAGCCTGTCAGTGTAGATCTGCTCTGCAGCTTGTGTTCATGTTTCAGCCTGTATGATCATACGGCAGTGGTGAGCCACTCTCGAATCATCTACAGGCACGCACACACACACACACACACACACACACAATACTCCATCCAGACTTGAGCTTTGAAGTCATTTCAGCTCCTCACTGCAGGCTACAGGCCCAGCTCTTGTTGGCTACATCTTTTTGGGGAGTCTGTTTGTTCGGTATTGTTGGATGCTTAAACTCAGTGTTATTTTCAACTAATCAATTAATCATTTTGTCTATAAAAGGTAAGAAAATGTTGAAAAAGGTCCATCACATATAGGTGAAGTCTCCAAATATCTTGTTTTATCCAAACAACAGTCCAAAAATAATCAATTTACCATGATATATTTTAAAAAGATGATAATTCAACTATCAAAATATACAGTAAAAGTCAATTACTCGACTAATCACTGCAGCTCTACTTCAGTTTGTGTGAAAGAGTCCTGTGTTTTCACAACACCAGCACAGAAACTCCTCATAACATTCTGTAAATACTTCCAAGATGTGAAACTCCTGCAGCAGTTTAATTCAAAGAGTTTATGAAAAGGTCGCTCTTAGTTATGCATTATAAAGAGAGGGCACAAAGCAAACTTGCCCTGCACTTACACTACAGTTGCAGTGCTTTCATAAGTCCCACAGACTGAGCTCTGTGCAGAGAAACGTCCCCCAGATGCACACTGCACTCCCCCCGCTGTCCACCCCCTCCTCCACGTAAACACACCGCGGTTCACCAAAAACCAGAGGCGAGGATAAGAAGCCTCAAATGCATGCGCAAAATTACACAATAAATCTTCTTTAAACACAAAGCGTTTTATCTTAATCCATCCACAAATCAGTGACATCCCAAACTTTCCCCACTGATCTTAAAATAAACTGTTGGCTTATTCCATCCTCATGGTCCCAGCAGAGTTCACAATGTCCAGGAGGTGAATGAGGGTCTTTGTCAAGTCCTTACCTTCGTATCCGGAGCAGAAGCAGAGCTGGACGAACAGGAGCACCAGTGGCCACATGTCCATATCGAGACGCAGGACTCTCCAACATGTGAAGAGAGAGCTCACAGGAAAACTTCCAGCGCATTCCAGCTTTCCAAAGGCCCGCCTCTTGCTCCAGAAACAAGGGAGGATTCTCCAAATACAGTCAGGCCACCGGCATGATACACGAGGCTGTGCCAACCCCTGTGGGTAAACTGTGACATGGACCAGATTATCATCACAGGACACTCAAGCTTAATTCTCTTTATAAAACCCCTCTTACAATCCACAGTGGTCAGGCACAGCTTCTCAAGTAATCACATATGTGCAGTTTTGAGGCGCTCCCACTCAGTGGTGGAAAAAGTATTCAGATCCCATTGTGGCTACATAAAGACACAGTAGGTAACTTTTATTAATGAGATAGATAATCTGAAAAAATCACCCCTGTCTCCCCCTGGTGCTACTAATGGCATTTGCAAGAATCTACCTATCCTGAACAAATGCAACCAATCAGAGACATGGATCTATCTCTGTTAAAGTTAAACCTTTTCTTCTTTGGTTTTCTTCTTTGCCACGTAAGAGCAGATTGAGGTTTTAGGCCCTGATCACGCAGAAAGCATTTTAGCAGCTGGAGGCCCCTTTTTGTAATTGTTTTAATGAGAATTAAGCTTTTCGCTCGTGTTTTTTGTGTTGCGATGCACCTGGCATGTCTCCGTTCTAGGTGCCTGGCATTTTTGCCAGAGCGCATTGAACTCAAGTTGAAAAAAAAAGCGTGAGGTGCTGTCCTGTTCCTGCTGTGGATCACTGCTATACACCATTTAAATCATCCCACAACCAAAAACCATGGATTATGAGAACTGTCTGGAGGACATCACGTTTTAGGTTTACTCTACTTGACTTTATACTACATTCTACTTAACTTAGACCTCGTGGACACTTTTTTGTAGTGTGTTTCTAGTGGCGGTAAGAGCACAATACACTAATCCATGTAAAAACAAGATGGCAGCCATCTCTGCCAAGTCAGTCTGCAGCTGATCTCAACACAAAAGTAGACAAGGTCCAAAACCTGATCACATTTTATGGTTGAAACTTGTTAATGTATGCTCAGTAATGTTTGTTGTTTGAAATGGCAACAAATTTGACCAATTTTAGCAACAGTAACAAGGTAAGACACTGTAGATTAGGAAGTACTCGTATGAGGACATTGGGACTTTATTATCGCCTCATTTGTGGACGTTGAAACTTTATTATCGTCTCGTTTGAGGACATTGGGACTTTATTATCATTGACAATGTTAACTTTTTTGTACTTATCAGGTCCTACTGATCCCAAATAGCTAGGAGAAATTAAAAATATATATCAAACAAAAGTTCATGCCTCAGGAGGATATTCTTATGCACGATCTAAACAGTTAACTAACATTTTGTTCGTTACTCAAGTGAGTAGCCAACAACCCGCTTTTATACATCCAAAGAACTGCTTGGCAACCAGACTAGGTGTCAATTTGAGACAGGCTTTTATTTGTCAAAATGTGTAGCCACAAGGGCTAGTGTAAGGGACTGGCTGTTAAATTGGGACTAGGCTTTTAATTAAAGTTTTACAGTACTCACAAAAAGGCCTATTTTATAATGAGGTTTGATGGGTAAACTCTTGAAATCAGGAGGAAATTTAACAAATTTATAAGTCCTACAAAGATGTGATTTTTGTTTAAAATAATTGGGTCATTATGAACACTTTAAGACATCATTATTGTACATTCAAAAGACATGAAAAGATACAGCATATAGTCCATCCTGCAGGTCATCACTAGTATGTACTGTGTTGGGCATACAGTAGTGCTCCTTCTTCTCACACACACACACACACACACACACACACACACAGACCGACATCAATAAAAAAGCAGCAGTAACACAGTGGAAACATTTCCCAGCTTCTGACATTGGTAGACTTTACTGCCTGTTTCACTGTTCACTAATGAGGTGAACATTTTATAGGAAGTTGGATCCAAGTTGTTTCCTAGCGACACTGTTCTGATGAAATGTTCCATAGTAACCATATTGTATTCTTGACATTGGCATCACAGTATTCTATACCTGATTATCACTCTGGTTCATACGCAAACACACACAGCATGATGGCTGCGTGAAAGTAGGGAGCTGTTAAAAGACTGATCGGTGTTTAATTTGCGAGAGGTTTGGTCATGTAGAGTGCGAGGGGGGCGAGTCCACACATGAAGGTGTTGAAGTGTTCTCTGTCCTGACGGGAAGCAGGAAGGGGAGGCGTGTGGCGGAGGAGGATCTCCTGCCCTGAGCTGTAATTATGTTTATAACGTGGGTTCAGCTGAAATATCTCTGAAGAAAAAGTTAGTTGACTCCAGCTTTTTTCACCTGACTCTGGAGGATTGGACTGACACTTTGATGTGGTGAGTTTGGATTTTGGATCGTCTCTGGGTTTTGTTTTGTTCTGTTTAACTATTGTTTACACGACTCACACTTAGCAGCTGTTTTCTCTGAGGATACGTTTGATTTTTTTAAGGTTTCAGTGTTTAAAAGCATTGATTTCTACCCAACACAGTGCACTTGTACAGTATGTAATTTCAGCAGGGATTTTGTCAGCATAAAGGGAGGGAACAGACACAGAGACACAATAATGAGGTATGAACATTTGACTGCTGCAGTTCATTATGAGGCTTATAATCATTGTAACCAAAGACAAAAATGTGCCAGTATGTGGGCAGAACAAGGCGCTCCCTCAGTAATTCAAATATTAAAACATTTATGAGACCAAAATGAACAATTTAGTGATAAGACTTTTACATCAAAAAGCAACAGTGTCTACAGATGTAGAGAGCATAGTGAACGATAGAGCGCACAGTGAAAAGAGTCCATCCATCCATCCATTTTCAACTGCTTATCTGAAGCAAAGCACCCCAGACGTCCCTCTCCACAGCAACACTTTCCATCTCCTCTTGGGGGATGAGATATGTAATTCCTCCAGTGTGTTCTGGGTCTGCCCCGGGGCCTCCTACCAGTTGGACATGCCCGGAACACCTCCAACGGGAGGCGCCCAGGAGGCATCCTGATCAGATGCCTGAACCACCTCAACTGACCCCTTTTGATAGAGCAGCAGCTCTACTCTGAGCTCCCTCCGGATGTCTGAGCTCCTTACCCTATCTCTAAGGCTGAGCTCAGCCACCCCACGGAGGAAAATCATTGTGGCCACTTGTATCTGCGACCTCATTCTTTTGGCCACTACAAAGAGCCCATGACCATAGGTAAGGTGGTGGTTTGCATGGTTGTTCCGGTTCGCTTGGGCTAGTGTGAATGCTGTCAATCTAACCCTGGTGCTGACCAAACAACCGAACCGAGACTGCTCGAAAAGGTGGGTCTCGGTCCGCTTCCAAGCAGACTCTAGTGCGGTTTGTTTGTGATGTGAAAGAAAACAAATCAGCCACAGGATTTTATGATAGCAGATATGTGATTTTAGCAACAGCTACACCAATATGCTGATCATGAAACCTGTCCGCAGTCTAATATTTGACCCTGATAAAGGCCATGTATAACCCATAACCTATTTATGCTAATGTGGTGAGCAGGTGAGCTCAATCAAGGAAACGACCCTCCCACCTCAGCCAACTGCCAGATGTGGTTGGCTGGAGCATCTTCAGAGACAGTGGGAGGGACACTGGTCAACATGAGTTGTTTTTAAATGTGCTTTATAAATACATTTAAGTTGAGTTGAGATGAATTTCCATCTGGTGTGGACCACATGAACCGAACTACAGGTGTGATAGCACCTTAGATGTTCATAAGTCCCTGTCAAGTTTGCGAAAATAAAACTATCAATTTGTGATCCATATTTAAAAATGAATGTCTTCAGTAGGAATGAATGAGCTTGGGGCTGAGCACCACAGACAAAGACAGGAAGTGGTAAAGTATTGAGAGACTAATGCATTGTTGGTTTGGTTCTTTAATGGGATTTTGTTGACAGTAACAAAATGTCACACACACTGACAGCTGACACATTAACTCCTGAGGTGCTGAGTGTGTGTCCTATTCGATGACATCACTGCAGGTCGAGGTACTGAGGCAGAACATTGTCCCAGAACTGCTGAGGATCGTCTGGTTTCTTCTCTGCAGCGCTCTGCTTCATCCTCGGCGCTGGTTTTGGCATTTCTTTCTGTTGCTTGTCTTTTCTGTCGGCAGGCAACTTCTGTATGGTTTTTGTTTTTGAGGATTTGACCTTTTCCTCCTCTTCTTCCTCCTCCTCATCTTCCTCCTCCTCCTCCTCCTCATCTCCTTCCTCCTCTTCCACTTTTTCCTTTCCTTCTTTCTCCTTCTCCTTCTGTTTAACATTTGACACCTGTCCTTTTTCCTCCTCCTCCTCCTCCTCCTCTTCCTCACCCTCATCTTCATTTTCCTCAGAAGCACCACCTTTCTTTTCTTCAGTTCGTCCCTGTTTTGTTTTTTCTCGTTGATTATAGAGTCTTGTATCTGTTTTTGGTTTAGTCTTTGTTTCATTCTCCTCTTCCTCATCTCCCTCTTCCTCCTCTTCTTCACCTTCTTCCTCCTCCTCCTCATCACTCTCTACTGTCACCTCTTTATTAGCTTTCATTTTCTCTTTTCTTTTCATTTTTTCTTCCTCTTCACCTTCACTCTCTTCCTCTTCTTCTTCTTCCTCTGTTACCCCCTCAGTATTCTCCTCTTCCTCTTCTGTAACCTCCTTACTCTCTTCTTCCTCTTCCTCCCCCTCTTCTTCTTCCTCTTCCTCTGTAACCTGCTTACTCTCTTCTTCCTCCTCTGCTTCCTCACCCTCTTCTTCTTCCTCCTCCTCTGTAACCTCCTTACTCTCTTCTTCTTCCCCTGCTACCTCTTCTTCCTCCTCTTTATTCTCCTCTTCCTCACCCTCTTCTTCTTCCTCCTCTGTATCCTCCTTCTTATCCTCTTCTTCCTCATCCTCATCTTCATCCTCTGTAGCCTCCTTTTGGTCCTCTTCTTCTACCTCCTCATCCTCTTCTTCATCCTCTGTAACCTCCCTTTTATCCTCATCTTCGTCCCCCTCATCCTCTTCTTCCTCCTCTGTAACCTCCTTCTCATCTTCTTCTTTTTCTACCTCCTCATCCTCCTCTTCCTCCTCCGCAGTCTCGTCCTCTGCTTTCCCCTCATCTGAGGACGCTTCCTCCTCACCCTCCTCCTCCTCCTCCTCCTCCTCATTTTCTTTGTCGCTCTTTTCATCCTGTTCACCCTCGTCTTCTTCGGCCTCACTGTCATCTTCCTCCTTCTCATTTTCAACACTCTCTTCATCCTGTTTGTCCTCTTCCTCCCCTTCACTCTCTTCATCTTCCTCCGAGTGTTTTTCCTCATCCTCGCTTTCGGAGGAATCTTTTTGTTCCTCAGTTTCACCCTCTTCCTCTGCGTCAACCTCATTTTCTTCTTCTTCTTCATTGTCGTCTTCATCAGAGTCATTTCCCTCTCCATCCTCCTCCTCCTCTGACTCTTTGATCTTGCTGCTCCCAGACTCTTCCCCACTTTCATCTTCTTCATCCTCACTCACCTCACTTTCTTCCTCTTCCTCTTTATTCTCTCCTTCACTGGCCCCTTCACTTCCCTCCTCCTCCTCCTCTGCTGCCTCACTTACCTCAGACTCACTCCCTCCTCCACCCTCTTCCTCTATACTTGCTTCCTCCTCCTCTTCAGCATCTATGACATCGCTCTTCTTGCTTCCTTCATCCTCTTCCTCACTGCTTGAGCCAGTTTCCTCCTCACCATCTTCCTCTGCAGTTTCATTATCTTGCTCTTCCTCACCCTCTCCAGAAACACTCATTTCCTCCTCGCTGCTTTCACCCCCCTCTTCCTCTTCTTCTTTGTCCTCTACATCACTTCCACTCTCCCCCTCTTCATCTTCCTTCTTTTCCTCATCTTCAGTATCTGTTTCTTCTCCCTCATGATCCCTGTTGGGTTTCTCATCTTCTTCATGTTCTTGCTGGGAAGTTTCCACGTCTGTGCCATTGTTCTTCGCCTCTTCACTTTTCACCTCCGCCAGTTGTGACTGAGTGGTGTCGTCACTTTCCTCGTCTTCAGTGACATCCTTGTTGACCTGAACATCTGTCTTGGTGCTGTCTTCTGGTGGATTTGACGTCTCCTGTGACAACGTCGAGGAAAAAGAAGGTTGCATAACCGCACTCTGCTTTGTGAATTGCCTTCCTCGACCAGGTGCTTTAAATGGTGTAGAAGAAATGGTGTCACTGTCGGACTGGAAACTACCTACGCTTGTCACTGCCTCACCGAGGACCCCCATAGCAGCACCTGCTATCCCAGCAACAGGAAGAAGAGCAGCTGCCGTGCCGAGGATTTCCCCCAGCCTTGGCTTTCCTTCAGTCAGACTCGGAGGATCCTCTCTGGGTGTTCCAGGAACAAGCAGATCCTTATCAACAGGTGCCGGGCCTTGTGGGGATTTGGCACCAGCGACTGAAACCGTCTCTGTTCTCTGAGTGCTTTGTGAGGAAATGGGGTTGTAGAGCGCTTCAATAGGTGTATCCTGCTGTGATAACAGCAGGCTGGAAGCTTCAGTCTGCTCACTGTTTGGCTTGGCGCTCGTGTTATCCTGAGCTTCTTCTTTAACTCTGATATGATCTCCTCCCTCTCCAGCTGGTTTTGTTTTTGCCTTCTTTTTATCCTTTGCTTTAGTGCCGTGACCTTCAGGTATCTTCTCCTTATCTGCAGTTCTACTTTTGGTTTTTTGAGCTGCTTTCACTTCTTTTTCCACAACTTTCCCTTTGCCTTTACTTTTAGCTGGAGTACTTTCTGCCCTTTTACTTTGGTTTTTGACTGGTGTGGATTTGACCTCTTTAACTCTCACAGGTGTGGATTTCACACTTGGTGATTTCTTAGTGATGTCTTGAAGTGTGTAGACAGGTGTGGTTTCCTTTTTCACTGGTGGTGATTTTATATTCACTGCTATACTTTGACCTTTCCCTGGTGAAGATTTAACCTTATGTGAATGTTTTGTTGGAGTTGATTTGACTTGCTGTGTCTCCTCTTCAACAGGTTTGACATCATTGGTTTCACTCTGAGTTTCTGCATCTTTTTCTACGGATGACAAACTTCCACTTTGGACAGATATGCAGGTTGCTTCACTTCCTGTAGTGACCATAATAACAGGAGATGTCCTCTCTAAAGAGGGTGATTTATTTCCCTCCTTTTTTGGTGTCAAGTTTTTCTTGAAATTACTGGCTTTCATATCCTTTTGATTTATATTATTTTCTCTCACATTTCTATTTCTCCTCTCATTTCTCTTCACTTCAGTCAGCCTCTGCTGTGCTTCAGTCAGAGTCTTCCGCACAGACTGTGGAGTTTTGGGGCTCGATGCTGATAGTTTTGGTGATTTATTTTGAACTTGCCCGTCTTCATGAGTCTTGATTTTATTGGGCTGCTTGGTGATGTTCTCTTTGCCTTTGGATGTGACTTTTTTGGGTGTGTTTTTCAGACTCTGTGAGCCCTTGAGTGCAGTCACTTCTTTCTTTAAAGAGCCTTTCAGGAGCTCTGTGGGTGAGGCCTTGAAGGAATTATGTTCTGCCCTCTCATTGAACTGCAACAGCTCTGCCTCTTTAGTAGTTCTTCTCAGAGCTCGGCCTTTTTTCTTTGCCTGTAACAAATCACAGAGAAAACAGGGATTTAGTCAGATGTAAAAATAAAACTGACAGGAAAGGTCGTATGCCTGATAATAACGTGTTATTAAAAAAAAAGTGAAGTTGTACCAGCAACAGACTTGCAATCAACGTGACAGCATGTGAAGTTGCGGCATTTGATGTTTTGTGTTTTACTGCCAGAAACATGTCAGCTCTAGTTAAAGGAAGCAGTGTCTTGTTCAGTAACACACTGCCATAACACTCAAAACAGAACAGTTTGTTTAGAGACATTTCAGTAGCTTTTGTAGGCCTAGATGTTAATCTTTAACTATAAATATTATTATGTTGAAAACAATACATGGGAAGAAAATATATTGCCAGTTTAAAGTATATTTTGCCTGTCAGAAACAAATAGTTTTTTAGTACATTTTTGTCCAGTGTGATTTGAAACGTACATAGAAAAATGACTGGGTTTTCTTTGCAGCATGTGACTGGTGAACACACATATCACAGAATGACTGATCCGTCATCAACCAATCTGTTGTCAGGTTAAATACAGATGTGGGTGGGAGGTATAGGAAACCATGGTGACGCCTGAGAGAAGATGAGAGGAATCCTTATTTTCCCATCTGCACTAGAGATAAACAGGTGGCGGTTAATTGGGGGTCAGTGGGGCGTCAGGTGAAAACAGACATTTAATCACCTTCACACAGCAGACCTTTGAATGCAAGTTCAATAACTGTGATGCCCATACATGAGCAGTAATGGCTCATTTAGTTAGTAATAATATCCAAGTGCTTGTATTATGCTTGAGAATTTCATTTTTATGCAACTATGTACTTCTATTCCACTACATTTCATTGTGAAATATTTGACCTCACTGCATTTTTTTTGACACCTAAAATTACGATTTTATTTTAAAAAATGAAGTTTGTATGATATGATGCATTGTCAGTGCACAAAATCTGCTTATTGAGTCATTCCAGTACTTAAAGTGGAACACCACCTCAATTAAGAATTTCCAAAATGCTATTTTCATGGCCCAGAAAATGTCAATCACTATTTGTGAACATGAGCTACTCCCTCAAAGCCAGAGACCAAAGAAGTAAGTCTCAAACTTGTGATGTCATCAAGTATAAAGTCTGGAGCTGCTCCATAGACAATGAATGGAGGCTTTATTCCATTGTAGTGTTCTCAGTTTTGAAACAGAAAATGTTGCCACATACTCAGAGCATTTCTCTGGGTGCTCTCAGTGTCATCTAGAACATCTAGAAGGCACAGATTTGAGGTTTAGCTCTCTAGTTTTTGGATTTGGTAGAGTTGTTTATGTTCATGTGATGGCTTAGGGTGCTCTGTTGTGTGCTGGTGTTATGTGTAATACATGAGTGGCTGATGTGCAATGCTGTCATATGTAGTATGTGTTTTTATGTTTTTTTTTTTTAATGGTGTATGCTTTTCATTTCTTCTGGTCTATTATTGCAAGACAGCAACACTTGTTCAGCTCCTGAGTCGTATCGTATCGTACCGTACCGTATCATATCGTATACTAATATTTTTGGACCAACTTAGACCATATAAATAACATGTTTAAATTTGGAAAATGTGTGTAGCTCTAGCCTGGTTCCAGACCATAGACCCTGCCCACTCAACTGAGTAGGCTTGCATCTCTGGTCTGGCATACTGCAATGAATTTGCGATTTATCTCATCCAAACGATGGAAGGACCAATGAACGCCGGGGGTGGGGGCGGGTCTAGCGATTAGCCAATCAGCGCCACGCTGATGTCAAGCTGTACGCGACCGCTACAGATCCTACAGACCACATTAACGATGCTATCGAGGTATTTTGCCACTACTCGCGTTAATGGAGGACCAAATTAAGGAAGCTGCTAAACTGGATTTAACGGCGATGCAGCTGGGCGTGCACGACGACAGAGACATTTTAAACGAGCAATGCTCGCTTGTTTTCGGCACCCTTGAGGCATGGATACTAATGACGTCAGATTCTGGGTGAGTCGTTGATCTCTACTGATTGGTTAGGGAAAAATCAAATTCCCTCCCCCTTGTAAATCGCCTTCAATGGAGGCGATGTCAGACTGAAGGTTCTGGGAGCTTCAGTCTGACACTCAGGCTAGTGTAGCTCCTCTTTAATGTCTTATTTCTTTCTTCTTCTTTTCTTTAGGGACAGTGCTGTCAGAATATTCAAACTTGTTTTTGATGCCAATAAACTTGTTTCAGGTATTTTCTAAAATTAAATTTATCATAATTCTAGTAAAGAAAACTGCCTTATTTATTCTTGTTTCAAGCTACAGAAATTCCTTTCTAGAGCATGTTTTAAACATTTATTCATTCATTTTCTGTAACTGCTTATCCTGTTGAGGGTCACAGGGGAGCTGGAGCCTATCCCAGCTGACACTGGGCGAGAGGCGGGGTACACCCTGGACAGGTCACCAGACTATCACAGGGTTGACACATAGAGACAGACAACCATTCACACTCACATTCACACCTACGGACAATTTAGAGCCACCAATTAACCTGCATGTCTTTGGTCTGTGGGAGGAAGCTGGGGTACCTGGAGAAAACGCACGCTGACAAGGGGAGAACATGCAAACTCCACACAGAAGGGCTCCCCCACCCAGGGTTCAAACCCTCTTCCTGTGAGGTGACACTGCTAAACACCTTTTAGAAAAAAAATGTTTGTCGGATATGTACATTTTACTGATGATACTGCAGGACTTTTACTTAAGTAGAATTTTGAATGCCTTTAATTGTGATAAAGTACATTTACAGTGTGGTATTGCTACTTTTACTTACATAAAGGCTCTGAATACTTCTTCCAGCACTACAGACTCAAGCCCATATAACTTTATGACCAGGACAGGAAGGGGTTACCGAGCACCACATGTTGCACTATGACACACAACAACGCAGGAGACTCCTTCACAGCTTGCTTCATCATTGGCTGTGGAAACACTGATGAGATGTGGCAAGATTCCTGCCAACTCTTCCAAAGCATCGTGTGTGTATCTGAGTGTGTGTTTGTGTATCTGATGCTGGAGCCCAAACACATCCAAACACATTCATTACACACATTCTTTGGGGAGAACAAGCGAATGAAAGAGAACAATTACAGATCAAGACACTTGGCTGAATTTCATATTTCACCCCAGTGTCATACCAAAATGGAAACTGTCTCCACAGACACACACAGACACACACATGTATGCTGAGCTATGCACATTTCCTGGAAAAGTCAGTGAGTTTGCAACATTGCTGCTTCCTGCCCTGAAGTGCACATAATCTAGACCACAACCAAGAAGCCTGAAGAGGAAAACAAAACTGAACTGACTCTGTGTTAATGACCCCGTGGACATTATCTTGTATTCCTCTACTCAATTAAAGTCAAACTTCTCTCACCATTTTTGGCAAAAAGTCGACTTCTTTCTCGGAGATATTCTCCTCCACATCTTCTAAAACAACTTGGACAGTTTCTCCCTCTGAAAAACAGACAAAGACTGGGTTAATTTAACGGCTCCACATAAGAGTATCTATGGCTATACTTTCATGGATTCGCAAGATGAAGCTGAGCTCAGCAGTGGCTGAAATTATAGGTTGAAAATACCTGTTTGTGGTGAGGCAGGATGCTCTTCCTCACTGAGATGTTTACTGGAAGTATGACTGGAGGGTCTTGTGGGGCTGCAGGGCTCTTTAGGTGAAAGAGGAGATTCTTCATTTAAGGCCTTTTTAGCGGTTGCCACTCTGTACAGTCTTTTCTTTGCAGTCTTTTTGGGAGATACTGGTGTGGTATGTTTAGTTATAGACTTCGGTGAGAGTAAAGGAGAAGGCAGCTCTTTGGATTTAGACGTAGGGGAAGCAGCAGCGGTGGGGGATTTATACTGAAAGGTGTTTGATGACTGAGAATGTGGGCTTGATGGCTTAGAGGATAACACCGGAGATCTGGGGGAGAGTGGAGGGCTTAGTGTTACTTCTGATTGTGGTTTTGGGGATGATGAAGGGGTGGTACGGTCCTTTGAAAGAGTTTTAGGGGTAGGGATGTTTCTGGAGGTTTGCCAGGAGGCGTTGAGGAAGCCAGAATTCAGACGTGGGAGGTTCTGAAACATCTCCCCAAACAGCTCCACAGAGCTTCCCTGAAAGACAGAAGAGGAAAAACAGCAAAAACTGCACTGAGTGAGAGGTTTGAATCACATCGATGGAGCTCCCCCAACCAGTCAGCTGGTGGCACTGCAGCAGAACTACAACTTGGTGTAACACTGCTCCCTACTGGAGTTTAACTGTGATTACAATTACCTAAAGCTGAGAACAAACTCTGCAGGGTTTATCAGGTTATGACTTTGTAAGACCTTTAAATACCACATAGAATCCAAATTAATACCTGTTTGGTCAAAGTATGTTGGGACAATATGGTCTTTATGGACTATTTTTTCAGAAATTCCCACCAGTATATAACAGTAATTCCCAATAATATAATTGAGCATAGTGTTAGTTCAGGCAGGACACGATGTCAAGCTCAGTACACATCCCAGATACATCAGCTGATCTCAAACAGCCCAGTCATCTGATGGAGCAGCTGACTGATGGAAGGGAGTCAGCTGATAGATCACATGATTCCTTTCTATGCAACCAATTGGAAAATCTCATTCAGGGCGCCCTATTCAAACTGCTCTGGCCTGCCTACTGTTGCTGCTTCCTCTGCAAGCCACTTTGCAACCCGCCTCCACCCCAGCTCCTCCTTTTCATGTTGTGTCTGACTTATCGATGTCATTTCTGTTTGTCACTGATGCTGCTATGTTCTGTTCCCGGGGGGCGTTGCTGCTGCTCTCTCTGCCTTAGGCTTTCCATGTAGGCCCATGGAAGGGCAGGGAGGTTTGCTCTCCCGTAGGCACGTGGAAGAGGCTTTCTGTGTAGGCCTGAGGAAAGGCAAAGGGCCCCAGAACAGAGCCATACCACCAAAGATAATACTGCAAATGAAAAAAAAAAGTTGCCTTTGACTACAGTGTTCCTGACTGAAATAAATTACTGCGATCTGGACCCACATAAGCAGCATAAAATGAAGGCATGGATTAAAAATTAAAAATTCAAATCACATTGAATTATTGAAGAGAACTTTCTCCTGCCTGTGGTGAACAAAGAATCCAAGAACCTATAAAATTCTTGATGAATTGAAGTCATAAGCAACCACGTTTAACAATGTATCAGAGCATTCATTTACAAATTCTCACACAACTCATGCAGTATAATCCAAGTCTCATTTTTCCAGTTGTACGCTCAGTACTTCACAAACAGACAGCCCTTTCTGACAGTGAACTGAATGGAAAGTGAAAGTCATTTATAATCTCTTCAAAGCCAAACCACATTAACAAAAACAGTAATTTTACCTTGCTAAACACAGGAGTTACTGGTCTACCCCTGCCTTCATCAGTTAGTTTATTTGTGTTATTGTGTGACTTTGATGTTTCAAGGGTTAGTTCTGATTCAACATTTCTCTGTTTTGAGTTTTTTTTTGTTCACCATGGAGGCATGCAAAAAAAAAAAAAAAATCTCTTGGATGCCTGCTGCTTACGGTCACCTGGTTGCTCCATTTTTATAAAGCCCTGACCTCACCCCAGCACTGTGGAGGAGCACACCCACAGAAAATAGGAACAACATAAGAACATCCAGGCAGAGGGCAGAGTCTCTCAGATAAATACACAACCACATAGGGTCACAGAGATGACTGAGAGGGATTACCTCTGTAAGAGTCTTCAGGAAAATCCTGCATAGTGTATCTTAAAAGTATATTTTAGGGCTGCAACAATTAATTAATTAATTAATTAATTAATTAAGTGATGAAAAGAAAAATAATTGATAGCTATTTTGATAGCTGATTAATAATTAGGGTTTTGGACTGTTGGTTGATTAAAAAAAGACATCTGAAGACATCACCTCACCTCGAAAGGCCTTTTCACTATTTACTTTTTTGTCATTGTGGACCAAACAAACAATTATTCAAGAAAATAATCAACATATAATTGTTAGTTAAAGTCCTAGCACATGTAAGCCTTTGCTAAAACTGCCCATTATGAGGTGATGAGCTTCGTAGCTAGTACTGCAGCCTCCTGACAATCCATGACTGAAACAATCCCACTTTCAGTTTATAGGTGTGTAACACATATGTACACAGCTGTTAATGGTTGAAATTAAGGACTATTTAGTTTTAGAGGTATTGAAAAAAACTGGCTTAGTCTGTACAATAAGCACCAAGGTGTAGGTTCTCACTTTTTCTCTGTGCCGGGCTCGAGCAGAGAGGGCAGAGAGTGGCACTATTGGATTCGGATCAATCAAAGTGTCCAGCAGGAGAATTTCCTTGTAGCTTGGCTCCAAAAAGCCCTCTGCGATTGTGACACCCCTCTCTGGCATCACCTCATGGCTCTCTGGTGGTCTGGGTGCAGCCAGGACCAGCATGTGGTTTCCACCACAGGATACCTAAATGTAAGAAAACACACATGGAATCAGTGAAGTTTATCTTTGTACTCATAAACTTTCAGACACACAGGATGCACCACTGAAGAGGTGAACTGCACTTGATGGACGACATGCTGCATCACCCTGAGCTCTTTCATCACACTCACTTACTAATTGAACGCTGTACTTGAGGAAACGTGTGCAGAGTGTCGGGCTGAACTGGTTGATGAAGTTCTCCTCCCCCAGCCCCAGTTTCCCATGACGACCATCACCAAATGTGTAGAGGAGCCCACTGTCTTTGGAGGAGGACAATAAATGTATTAGATCGAGTTTGAAAGTTGTGTTTAATCGGATAGAAATTTAATTTAGATGATCAGAAACACACACAGAGCTTCACAGGCAGCACTATTTTTAAGTGTCAGAGAGTGCTTACTTGTGATCACAGCGGTGTGGTTCTCTCCACAGGCGATATGTTTGATGCTGCTGTTACAAAAGTGCTCCAGTGGTTTTGGCAAATCAACTTCAAACAGAAATGTCCCGTGGCCCAGCTGTCCGTACTGACCTCTGCCAAATGTGTACACGTTTTCCTCTGGCACAGCAAAACAGACACAACGAAGCAGACCACAGTGATAAACAGCAGATTTAAGTACATTTACTAAGTATTTTCATTTACACTAGTAAAATAAATAGTCTACTTTTTACTCCAATACATTTATTTAATTGATTGAGCAACCTTACAGTTTTGATAGCATAAACATTAAAAAAAACTTTTCATCTCACCAAGTCATTTGTTTTTATTATTTTAATAAAACAGATTTTTTAAAATGACATTGCAGTAAGAAAATTCCAGCCTGCTTTAATATAAGTGAACTACTTTTTTGAATTTTCTATAGGAAGGCATCAGGCCATTAAATGGCCTATATCAGTGGTTGTAAGGATCTTAAATATGAGTTTGAAGGAGCCTGCCACACCTACTATTAGGTTGAGAACCTGATTGTCAGGCTATGAAATGGCTGTTTCCATTAATTATTAGGTGGTGGCTTCTCATGGAGTAACGATTATAACAGTAGCAAAGGAGGAAGTTAGGTGAGCGAGGGGTTCCTGTCACATGTGAAACCACAAGTCAGCATTGAGTTATTTTAACATGAAAATGAATGTGTTGGAAGAGAGCAGGTGTGGCAGGCCCCCTCCAACCCCTATTTGTTACCTTTATAACCACTAATGAAATATTTGTAATTCTATATGTAAAATATAAACAGGCAAGTTTGTAAAACAAGCATAAAGGTCTTGGTATTTTCCAGTGACAACAAGAGTTTAATACTGTTTTAACCTACCTGTGAGTGCCACAGTGTGCTCCCCTCCACAGCACACCTGGGTGACACGACCCAGAATCCCTTGCACCCGCTGGGGGACTCTGTGATTGGCCAGCTGCTCCACCTGGAGACCAAGCCTTCCATTCGCACTCTCACCAAACATGTAGAGATCTCCATCCACTAAAAGAAAGCAGACACAACACTGGTATCAGAAGGTCTGTTAACTGAACCGTCTCTTGTGCTGCGTTTGGTTGGACTGTGTTGTACCTGTGACAAACGCTGAGTGGTGGTACCCACAGGAGACCCACATCACTGCTTCCCCAACATCCACCTCTCTGGGTTCTGCTGCATATCCTTTGTCCCCTAAGCCGATCTGGCCCACGGCGTTGTCTCCCCACATGAACAGCCTCCCGTCCTCTACAAACACACACAGAGGTTAGCAAACATCTCACACTACTGTTATGGGGACACTTGTTACATTATTATTTGACACAGTTTGAACCTGTTAAAGCAGCTGAGGTGTTGCATCCTGCAGAGAGCATTTTGATTGGTGCGTGGTCACAGAAAGGTTGCAGCAGGTGGAAGGATGTAGTGTTGTTGCAGTGGCCCAAACCGAGCTGCCCCTCCTGGTTACTGCCCGCAACATACACACTACCCCGCCCTGAAAATACAAAACACCTGAATTAAATACGGCCAATTCTGGAGACTACTGTTGTTTGTTTTAAGGAAACATCTGTCATATTCTGATATCATTTGTTTATCATCTTACATGTGCAGACGATTGTGTGATCTTTCCCACAGGCTACAAGCTTCACCTTCTCAGACTTTAAGGCTGCAAGAAAAATACACCATTATAGCTACTAAAATAATAACAAAATACCAAAAATAAAAGACTCATCAGTCAATATCTAGCTGAGAACTAGTTGTTTCAGTACTGATACAGTTTGAGAAATGCCTTGGATACTGCCTAAAACACTGGATTGGGTCTCGGACAGTGTGCTAACCTAAGCACTGGTCCAGTACCTCATAAATTATTAATAAACCTGACAGTAGTTTCACACCTGAATAAAACAGCAGTTTCCCCAGAAATCAGTTTTTCTTTGCTGCTTTAAAACAGCAGCCTACACAGCAACTTGTGCTGTGCAGCCACTGTAGACTGCTTTTTTATAGGGCCTAAAAAGAAGTGATTTCTGGTTAATAGTTTATCATTAGCTGTTTGCAAAATTACAGCAATATTGGCAGTATTTGACACTGGAAAGTCGCACGAGTAATAAGGTAACATGTAAGGTGTGCAAGGCTTAAGTTTCAAGAATTGGCAGTTGTGTTGATAGATTCATTATCTGTATGTATTTGTTAATGTTTTACAAAGGGCAAGTAGTTGCCAACTTTGCTTATCTGCTTTAGTGATGGTATTTTATTTTATTTCATTTTATTTTATTTTATTTTATTTTATTTTATTTTATTTTATTTTATTTATTTATCTGTGTATTCATTTAGTTAGTTATTTTGTTCTTTGTATTTCTTGAACTTGCCTCATTTAATTTACTAACCTATAATTTATTTGTAAATTATATTTTATATCAATAATCTGAATCTGTAAATTAACTAAACTTATTACACAAATGTAGTTGAGTAAAAATTACAATATTTGTCTCTGTAATGTGGTGGAGTTAAAGAATAAAGTGTCAGAAAATGGAAATACTCAAGTAAAATACAAAATTACTTGTGTAAATGTTCTTAGTTACTTTCCACAGCCGGACAAAACAAGTGATTTGAAGATGTAATTCAGGGCTTTTCACTGGTTTCTGAAACTTTATAACCCAAATGTTTTAAGGATTAATTAAGAAAATAATTAGCATATTAATCAATGATGAAAATGATAATTATTTGTACTTAATGATACTTATTAAATGAAGTACCTGACCTTTCACAGAGACAGGTTTGCTGGCAGCAGGCTTCAATCCAAGCCCCAGTTGGCCCCACATATTACCACCAAACATGAGCAGCCTGCCATTTTCTGCAGACATAATATTCATTCAATTAAACAAATATCTCTCACTGAACACATTAATTATTCATCATTAAAATCTGCATTATTATCTGCACCTGTGATGACAGCAGTGTGTTCTCCCCCACAGGACAGGTGTACAGGCAGGTCATTCTTCAACCAGAACTTACTAGGCACATTATCAGCAAAACTGCTCTTTCCAAATGTGAAGATGGCTCCTGTTTCTGAAGACAAATGTGGGATTCATCTTTTAAAACAGACTTTAATAGAAATGATGAACACTGTGCAGTACTTAAAGGCAACACTAACTTACTCCCCTCTGACTTAACACCGGCTAAATCCCAACCTGCTGTCACATCTCAAGCCATTTAAGTAGCAGCCTGACAGAAATAGCATCAGGTCAACCTCACATACAGAGTGTGGAAACGTTAGCAGAATGAACAGGTAAGTATATTACTTATACAGATAGGCACAATATATGTTGGTTAATGTAATGTGATGAAAGTACTCTCACCGGGTATGTCCACATCGTCCTGTCCCGTCATCTCCACTGCTGTCCCCTCACACCTCCTCACGTGCACTGTGTGTCAGTGCTCACCTACTGAGCGGTGGATCAACCAGACGTCAGGGAGGGGCAGAAGCCAGCTAACCTCCTTACACAAATATAAATTAATTTTAAAAACATACAAAAAAATATATTTTTGGCAGATATATAGATGAGGAAAGGTTGTGTAAGGGGAGAGTGTATTTACTTTGTAACACTGGGTGGTACTTGGACTGTAAATAAACTGGGTTTATTACTTGTTTATTTAATTAGGTGGTAAATAGACTGGGGATAGTTGTATATTAGTTCTAAATAAATTTGGGAATTAGTTGAAATAATATATGAATTAAAAGAAGAAATGTAAGAAAGTGGTAGGGACATAAAAGTTTTACGTCTATCTGCGTCCTTTTTGGACACTGTTATTTATGTTTTTTGAATTTTTTGGTTCGAAATTAATTTATTTATTCATTCATTCTACCTAGCTTACCGTGAAAGTAAAATTATCTATAGATTTTACATGTGTTGATCCAAAGACATGTGCTGCCATTGATTCCCCCCTATTTAAATTAATGTGCAAAAAAAATTTAATGCAGTAGATTTTCAAGCAATCAATTAGATTTTCAAGATCAATTGAATTAAGTATGTTTCTCTAAAAACAAAATTGCCAATGGTTTATATTCCTTACTATTTCATAAGTGTGGTGGCCTAAGATTTCTGTTATGTAGTGATTATAAGAATAACAAATTGCCTGTTAAGCTTTCTAATTTTCAGAAACAAGCTCTTGAAGCTTGGGGGATTGCTTACAAACATAATTTTTAGAACAATCAGCATATATTGTCTAGAAACAAGTCCAGATACATGAAAGACTGGATTAATAAGGGTTTAATCTTTGTATTAGATGTTCTTAATGATCAAGGCAACCTCTACAAATATGAAGATTTGTTCAGAATAAGGAAATGAATATTTCTGGAAAGGAATATAACAGTGTTTTAAAAAGTATTTCACCAAAGCTACTGTTTCTCATCAAATGTGCATTGCTGTGATTGGAGACATTTCCAAATTCTTAATTGGTGGGAAAGACCTATTTGACTGTATGTGTTATAATCACCATATCAGAAAAAATACTCCCTATAATTAACTCTTTTATGGAAACTGAATTTTCCAGAAACAGATAACAGATAAAATGTAAAGTTTTGTCTTTGGACCGCGGTTTGCACACAGCGACACATGGTGTTCCTGCTTTACGTGTTGCCTAGCAACCTCATTACTCGCTGTTGGTAAACTAGCTGTAACTATTTTTGTTTTGCGGCTGAAATACACTAAAAAACTGCTTTAGTAGTCGTTATATTACAACATAAGAAAACCAAAAAGCGTTTGTCATCTCATTTCAGCTGTCAAACAAAAAGCACTGAGCTTATGAAAGAGGCCACGCCTCGCTTCCGGGTTTTGCGGTGACGTCACTAGTACCACGCTGCCTACTATTTCTGGAAGGGGCAGTGAGTGAAACTGACGAAATATTCCCACAACATTACGCTTTCATTGTATTTTCCCTGAGCAGCAATGTTTACTAAACTATTATCTGTAAACAACAACGTTTTCAAATGTTTGAAAACTCTCCAAGTCCGCTCTGCTCGAGGCTTTAGGTAAGAAACTCTACATAACTTTATTTAGATCAGCATACCGATGGTAAAGATTTGTCAGCAATGCATGTATTGTTGGTACAAGTTATAACATGCGTTATGCCCTACTTTGTGACTTTCTCAGCATTGGAGCTTCGTGCCTCGGTTCAGTGAGTTTAAAGGGTCGCAGCTGTCTCACTCTGAAAGACTTCAGCTCAGATGAAATCAAGACGCTGCTGTGGGTGTCTGCAGATCTGAAACATCGGATCAAACATGAAAAACAGGTTAGTAACAATAGCAAACTAATGTCAGCTGCAGTGTGCATGACATGAATATCCTCAGTTTTACTTTGCAGCCTCAGGATGGGTAATTTTTAAAGGAATCTGTGATTTCTATTTCAGTATCTTCCTCTTCTGCAAGGAAAGTCTATTGCTATGATATTTGAGAAGAGGAGCACCAGAACAAGAATGTCCACAGAGACAGGTGTCTGTTTTGTATTTAAGTATCTGTATTGGTGTTTGCACATGTGCTTCAGTTTAACAATATAGTGAATAGCAGATTACAGGAGGTGGGTAAATGTTATAAAGTCACAGGGCAGTTTTTAAGTGTGTAGTTTATACTTTAAATTACAGAACTATCTTTTTTTTCTTGTGAAGATTTGTTCGCTCAATTTACAGGGCAGTTGCAATATGTAAGATGCATAAACATTTCTATTTCTATTGCCATGTCACAATAGAATAAAAGAAAGGAAAAGGAAAAATACATGTGCATATACATACAAATGTACCTGTATAAAAATGTTAATTATATACATAATAATTATACATTAAAGAAAAGATTAAATTGCATTAATGAGAACAGTCTAACATCAGTGTATCATCTCACACTGTTCACTGGGTGAGTGTGTTCATCAGTGTGTTCAGTGGTGTAAAAGTCATTGTTCATGTGGACACAAAAGAATTGCTGAAAGGTGACTTTCACTGCACCCCTGGAACAAAACAGTCCGTGACTATTTCCACTCCTCTTTTTCCCTGTACTGCTCCCCTTCAACACCATTTGGCCATCATAGAAATTGAAGGTTATCACACACCATTTGAGAACCACTGTTGTAAAGGGCTAGTTCAGATTCACCAAAGTCATACAATAACAAACAAACTGATGGAGGCAGTGGTAGACCACCACCTCCTGTGTTTGATGAGGTGAAATTACCATTTTGGTCAGTGGAGTCTGGCTTTAAAGAGAGCATACATAAGTTTCACTGAGTTTCAGCTCAATTATTTATCAGAAAGGGCTGCCTGTTTGGAAGTACTGAGGATACCACTGGATAAATGAGACTTGGACTGCACTGCAGGAGTTGTGTGAGAGTTTGTAAATGGATGTTTTTAGACTCATGCGAGAAAAACAAAAAGTTTGTTTATGAATTCAAAGTAACACATGCTGAGTAACTGCTAAACAAATGGTCATTTGCGGGTCAAAGTGTTCCTTTAATATCCTCTTGTATCCAGGTTTTGCTTTGCTTGGCGGACACCCCTGTTTCCTCACCTCTCAGGACATCCACCTGGGTGTCAATGAGAGCAGCACAGACACAGCAAGGTGAGTCTAATAATTATGTTTTCACTCATAGACATAAAATGAAATGAATGTCAGTCAGTTGATAGATGTAGGCTGTGTATTTGAATATTCAGGTAAATCTTAATGAGCATGGTATTTTTCAGTGTAACTTCACATATTGTAATACTGGTGAGTTTTTCAAGGTTGTAACCATCATCTCGTGTTGTTTACTGCTGCTGCTGATTACTAAAGAGAGAGACGAGTGTTTGTGGCCCAGCATATGACCCTCAGCCCCCTGGGTTCATGTCCCAATCAGTAATCTCTCAACTCCTTCCACAGGGTTCTCTCAGGTCTCTGCGATATTGTCTTGGCTCGCGTGTACAGCCACTCCACGCTGGAGGAGCTGGATAAGGAGGCCTCCATCCCCATCATCAACGGTCTGTCTGACCTCTACCACCCAATCCAGATTCTGGCTGACTTCCTTACTTTACAGGTACTCCCAACTCCTGCAACATACTGCAGTTTTCATCCAGTAAATGATAATGACATAGTGTTTTCCAAATTACTGCCATTCAGGAGCATTATGGGTCCCTCAGTGGACTAACAGTGAGCTGGATTGGAGATGGGAACAACGTCCTGCACTCCTTTATGATGTCTGCAGCTAAATTGGGAGTTCATCTTAAGATTGCTACCCCAAAGGTTTGCCTAGTTTTATGCTCTTCAGTACACGTGGCCTCTCTTTTAATGCACTTCCTCTTCGTTCGCTTTGTAATGTACATCAATAATCCTACCAAAGCTAAAACTGTATCTTCATTCTCAGGGGTATGAGCCAGACAGGAGTGTTCTTCAAGAGGCACAAAGACTCTCCAGAGAGGTGAGGTCTTCCTCTTTATGTGTCATTATTATAAACAGACCTCATGTCATCATGTTAATTCGTAATGTCACATTTTGTCTCAGCATGGGACCCAGCTTGTTCTGACCTCTGACCCAAGGGAGGCTGCAACCGGCAGCGATGTTTTGGTTACCGACACCTGGGTCAGCATGGGACAGGAAGAAGAGAAGAAAAAGAGACTTAAAGACTTTAAAGGTTACCAGATTACAATGCAGGTAAATAAAAAAATAATTGTCATATTAAGCTGTTTATAGTTTTTGCATTATGTTTGATTTGGTATCTTATTGATATTTCAGTCAGTGCCTGTTTCCAAATTATCCCCTCTTTACAGCTTTACACACTTTTGACAGTCAGCAAATGAGTATAAAACACACTCTGCCTGACCGCCTGCTCACAAAGCAGTCGGTTTTAATCTTCTAGTAATTGTTTGTGTGGTAAACTAATCTAACACTTATTATGGCCTTCATCTGGTTTTTAAATTAGCTACTAAGCATTCAATAAAACTCTTGCACAGAAAATGATTATATAATTGATATCATGTTCTGAAAATGATTTCAGTAATTATTTGGGTCACTAAAATTATGCCTTTATGCCTGGCAATTAAATATTTTGCAAAGGAGCAAAAGTGTAATGTCACTGAGTTGATGGGGGTTGAAAAGGGATATTTATATATTCTTCAACCTGGACCTTTTTTTTCCTATGTTTTGTGTCTAAGTGACTGATGGAGAAAACATTTTTCGAAATTGGCCAAGAGCTTCAGCCAGCAGTGGTGAAACAGGCTGAAATGCAACCACTCACAACGTCCACTAAAAGTGCTTGTTTCTGCCACTGACAGGCTCAGATTGTTATTACAAGTATCTGACCACATTATGGAAAGGATCCCCACAAAGACATACCATTTTGTTTAAGTGTAAGATCCTGTTATTTTTTTAACCAGAAACTACCCCAAAATCAGCATCGCCAAAGCTACCAGACTCCATTTAAATAAACAGTAATTTTATCATCCTAAAACTCACTTTATTCAGAGTCAACCGAAATACAATAAAACTCACAAAAACCATCTTGGTTCATCTTTACACTGTGCCAGCAATCACAAACTCTGATTTAGTCAAAATGAACCATTAATTCACCCAGTTAGGTGTGAAAATTAGTTCTTTGACTATGTGAAGAAGATGACCTTTCCAGCTGTCCCTGAAAAATATCCCACTTAATTTTGTCTATTTTTGTATCCATATCTTTACTCTTACCCCAACTTTAAGGGCAAGTTTATTGTTTACTGTAAAAAGTGAAATATGACCAAGCTGAATGTTTCTTTTCTGTGTAGGTTCTAAAAATTAAGTATTGTATTGTATGAGTTAAAGGGTTACTTTAACTCCATGTTTTGTCTCTGGTCCACTACAGACAGGAAGTGTGTCCAAACCAGACTGGACCTTCCTGCATTGTCTCCCTCGGAAAATGGAGGAGGTGGATGACGAGGTATTCTACTCATCCCGCTCCCTCGTCTTCCCCGAGGCAGAGAACAGAAAGTGGACAATCATGGTGAGTAACCTGATTATTATCTGATGTATGGTTTTATACTAGTGTGGGTTTCATTCAATCCTGTCAAAATTCTTCAGTCTGATTCTCCATCTACTGTTAATCACATCTGTCTTGTCTCTCAGGGTCTGATGGTGTCTCTTCTGACTGACTACACTCCACAGATGCCTATGCTCAAGTTTTAACTTCAGCTCCAAGTTTTGGAGTTTTACTCGTCTGTCATGATGTATGACAGTCCTGATGTAGCTGCCTCTGTAAAGTTTAATGTCAGATTTTACTTATTGATAGCACCATCACAATGCTACATGGGTTACCCCAAAATAATAGTGTTTACATTGTTTAAGTCACTTTATGTTTTAGAGCATGGATATCATTGTTTGCTTTATTCAGCTGTTCAGTTATAGGTCAAAATTATCTGTTTACATTCTACTTTTAATGTGATGAGGGGCGAGGATTACAACGTGTGTGAGTTTTACAGTGGAAATGTGTTTGACATGTGTTACTGACAAGGAAAAAGATTACTGAGCTTTTCCTCTACTTGCATAATGTTGTCGTGACTTCTCTACGATCTCCACCAGCATTGAAAATTTGAAGGAGAAAATGCGGTCGGTCCTAGCTGACTCCTTGCAGTCTCTACATGGCATTAACACAGCCGCTGTAACTCTAACATGAAGTTACATTTTTAAGGAAATGCCCATTGGTCACTGTGCCTAAGCCCAGTAAATGCACAAGTATAAATCCAGCTTTACAGCCCAAATCCTTGTTTACATCACACAAGGTTCCAATTGCATGGCATGGGCACCCTGGTGACCCAGTGATCTAAGACATATACCAAAGTATACCCCTCTCTCCTCACCTGTGTGCCTCTGTTGTATACTATCTAATAAAAGCTAAATGCCAAAAATGTGTTTTTAAAAAAAGACATTGTATATAATTATGTACGTATCAGTTGTTAAGTTCAGATTGTTTTTTAAAATGAGTACTGTATCACCATGGGGTGTTAAATGCTTTAGAAAATGGACGAAACACTGGCATCATAGATGTCTTAAAGCAGTGGTTCTCAAATGGTGTGTCATGGGATTTTGTGATAACCACACATTGTTATTATAATAGCATAATAGCATAGCATATTATAGCAATATTCAACTAGGCCTATAGAAAAAGTTAGGAATTAATTTTTAATTGACTTTATCAGTATTTTGTGTGCACCCATTTCCTAATAAAGAGGTAAACTCTGACTATAAAATGTAATTTAATTGAATTTAATTAAAAAAAATCTTCACAGGGAACCTATCTGTTGCCGTTCACATGTGGGTATTACAAGTGTAAAGCCCTGGTTGGCAGCCAGTGTGAGGGATGATAACATTTAAAAGGAGAAAGCCGTGAATGGGACAATGGATCGTTTTATTGTACAGAGCAAATTACAACTTAGCACCAGTGAAGACGACCTACCACTGAAAGAAAAGAGAAAGAAAAAAAAACTGGCAAAAGCTACCTGTCTGATTTTTTTCTTATTTATATTGCCTTATGTGGTGATAAGAGTGATGACATGTTATAGTCTTAAAGCAAAAGAAAATTGTGTTGTCAGATTAATCCAGTTAAGAGGATTTTTATATCCTTAAATCTGAATGTATACAAATGTACCTTTGACATCATGCTCTTCACTTTTATAATACTACTTATGAGTTTTTGTATTGTTCAGTTTACATCAGAATACATCTAAAACTGTATTGTTTGCATTCAGAATATAAAATATGTTTTAAAGGGCAGAATCCCACAATATATCACAATCTGGCACCCTCTCAAATCACACCTTGCACAAATTACACTTCCTGAGTTGTAACCCACTCTTCTACAATAGTATGAGTTATTGAGTTTTTATTATTTTTCCCCCCTGTATTTATTTTATGTGCATTTAATCCACATATGTTTTGTCCTGTTTACATGTTCATGCTCATGTTTTCCTGCATCTGTGAGCTTATTATTCTAATGTTATTTTCTGTAAAATGAAATGAGGGCTGACATTGCATCATAATATATGTAATATCTTCTTTGGCTCGATAAAAAATACCTGGGAAAGAATATAATAATTGCCTGCCTCCTGTGGAGCTCAGCCCAGCGGTTGTGATATTCAGGCAGAGTGCGCCCTCTGGTGGAAGAGTCGGTAACGTCCCGCCTCTCTGATTGGATAACGTAAGATAACGTGATGACGTATTGTTGTTGTGCGGGAAGCTTTGATCCATGTGGGTGGTCCAGCCGGATAAATACGATGCTACGTAGCGCTTCATTCATAAACACTGCCAGCCTGTTGCTGAAGAGATACACATGCGTACACTGATTTTTGTACACATGAATGCAAACGTCTGCACTGACTACATGTTGCATCTGAAGCTGAATAAATGTTTTCAGCAGTGTAATTATGAGTAAAACGTACGTACATTGTCACAACAAGCTACTCACCACGGAGAAATAACGCTAACTGCGACATGAACTCAAGGCGATTCCCACCCGGGGACCACCCACACACTGCAGCAGTCTGCAAGGAGAGGGAGTTGAAGCTGAGGTGGGAGGAGGACGCCATTGCAGCCGCAGCTGGCCGTCTGTGAGACAAACGTTATCAAACTTCACAATGTCGGGGGGCTTTTGAGACACTTTATTCAGACTCAGCCCCCTGTTACTGGGTTATAGTGTGGACACGGACGAGTAGGATGGACGGTTGGCCTTTGACGGGGGGAAAATGTGGAGCCACAGCGCCGAGCCGAAGCAGGTAAAGAGGGAGATGTTGGGGGGACAATGGGAGAAAGTTTAAGCTAACCTAGGCTAACTAACGGTAGTTGTGTTAGCTAGCGTTACTGCTCTCGAGCTAGAAGTAGTAACGTAACAGCGCCGTTGACAAAGTTTGTCGGTATTGAGCTGTACAGAAAGCTAAAATGTCGCCGGTTTTTGCGTTAAAGTTTATTTTTATTGTCTTTTTAACTCCTAAAAGTTTACCGAGTAACGCTACGGTGAGATGCGGTAACAAATCTGCTTTTTTGTGGTGAAAAATAGTGTTAACAGACGAAGGTAACGGCTGAGAGACGACCGTTGGTTTGAATTTTAACGTTCATTTCCATTACTTTGTTTAGCTTAAACGTTAACTTTGAATATAGTCGATTTATTAGTCATATTTTAGTCGCTACACTTTAAAGTTTGGTGCTAAAGTTTGTTTATAATGGCTCAGTTAACAGTTACATGTCTTCATCTTGCGCTTACCTTTCCAGTGGATGATGGTAGAATGTAAAGTCAGTAGAATTCCCAACCTTGCTTTATGTAAAAATACCAACACAGCAATGCAAGGCTGCATTCAAATTCATAATAAGCAACGTTACACAAGTGTTATCTGCTGCTGTCATTGCTATATTATGCTTTTTATTTTATTTTACATTGCTTAAATGTGTAAAAAGCTTTCTAATGTTGTAGCTGGTTGCCTTGGAGCTGCTGTTGGCAACTTTTATGTGCTGTTGGATAGTTCAATCTGCAAATAATTAGTATTTTTATTATATAATGATATGTTTTGTGTGTAAAATCCAATCTGCAAATTAACTACAACTCTTAGATAAATGTGAAATTAACTAGACAATGTTCTGGCAGCCACTGGTTTCAGCTTATTTCCATGGAATATGATTCTGTTGTTGTTTTATTTTACTTATTTATTGTAGTTACATTTTCACACTTACAGCCTCAGCATAGTGATGACACATTTTATTTTTAATATTTCAATTTTTATATCTTAAGTACTAGTTTCATTTCTATTTTATTCTATTTTATTGCTATATATTTTCAGACTTTTATTCTTATACTCTTATTCTTACTTCTTATAATCTTCTATCTTTACATCAGAGCAACTGTATTGAATCATAATAATAAAGTATTTCTGATTCTGTTGAAAATTAAAAAGTGGGCTCTTGAGACTTGTTTGGGGTACTTTAGTCATCGCTATGAATTTAAAGTCTGCCTTGATGTTTACCACAGTTACACAATAGCAATAGGGTTGTGCAGTGCAGATGTCTCATATCAATCTGCCCTTAAACTGCATTAGAGCTGAAATGACAGAAAAGTAATTGGCAAAAGTTTTGATAATTGATTCAAAATCTGAATCCAGTTTTTTTGCCAAGAAGATTTTCACATACAGGGGATTTGCTTTGGAGTATTGGTGCATAATTTAAACATATTAAGAGAAAAAAGAAATTAACAATAAAAGCAAGTATTTAAAAGAATCAAGAGACATAAATACAAAATAGTTTAAAAATTATGATAAAAATATGAGAAAATACTATAAAAGCATACAGTATATCTGAGTAAAAATGAAAGCGCTGAGCAGTTTTTAGAAGTGGTAGTTATTAGAGCTACAATTAATTGATTGGTTGTCAACCATTAAATTTATCACCAACTACTTCTCAAATATGATTTTTTTCAGGTTTCTTTACACCTCTATAACTGAATATCTTTGGGTTGTGGACAAAACAAGACATTTGAGGATGTCATCTCGGGCTTTAAGAAACACTGATCAACATTTTCACAATTTTCTGACATTAATAGACCAAACAACTAGTCAAATAATTGAGAAAATAATTGACTGATTAGTTGAGGATGGAAATATTAGAATTAATATAAGTGTTAGTTGCAGCCTTTGTAGTTACGTATGCAGAAATGTGCATGATATTGTCCAAGGAATGTGCAGTGTGAAGTGTAAAACAAATGTGTGTAATGTAGAGAGATAACTCTCCACGAGATCTGTGTTAAAGTAACACATAGAAAGAGATGAATACATTAATGCAACGTGCAGTGTGATTCAGTTATCAAGCAAAAATGCCAAACATTCTCTGGATTTTACTAGCTTTCTTCATAATTCCAACATTTCTAATCATGTCTTTCCATTTACAGTCTCCAACCATTCCTTCACCTGTCTGGTGGCCCAGCCTCTCACCATGAACATCAGTAGGAACTGCACCACAGCGGGGAATGGTGAGGGCCTGGCTGCCCTGGAGTCAGTCTCCATTGTGACCATCACGCTCCTCGCCTGCCTCGGAAACCTCCTGATAGTGGTGACCCTCTATCGCAGGCCTTATCTGCTCACGCCCAGCAACAAGTTTGTGTTCAGCCTGACCCTGTCCAACCTGCTGCTGTCCGTGCTGGTATTGCCGTTCGTGGCTGTGAGCTCGGCAAAGAGGGAGTGGGTGTTTGGGGTGGTGTGGTGTAACTTCACCGCCCTGCTCTACCTGCTCATCAGCTCTGCCAGCATGCTCACCCTTGGTGCTATTGCCATTGACAGGTCAGTTTTGGATAATGATAATAATAATTTTCTGTTGGTTCATCACTCTAAAGGACACCTCACGTGACATATCGACATATTTGACTATTTTTATGCATGCAAAGCAGCGGCTTAATGGTTACAAATGCAGGCTTGTTACCATAATGTGTTCATGTGCTCTTGATCAAGGCACTTAGACACCATGACCTGTGCGGCTGCTTACTGGCCAGTGGTTGTGCTTGTACTGTGCAGCTCCCACATGTTGAAAAGTCTGTTAGGCTGGACATTGCTGAGAAGGAATGCTTGAGTTATTAGATTGAACACATTTGTTCTATCGTAATTTGATAAGTCATGAGCCAGAAAAAGTGCAGTTCAAAGAGTGACAACACGGCTTTCATAAATGTTGTGCAGTATTTGCTGTCAGTGGAGTAATTTGAGTATTTTCAGGGTTCCCATGGATCCTTAAAAAGTCTTAAAATTGAATATATTAATTTAAAGATAAGACCTTAATTGTTATTTAAATGTCCCGAATAATCCATCTTAAATAAGTCTTAAAAATGCTAAGACATGGGAAGAGGGATTTTTTTAAATCATGTTTTTTCTGACATTGCTTTTTAAACTCTCAAAATAACATTGGTAACATTTAAAAAAAAACAAAAAAAAACCATAATGTACTGAATGTCTCTCACCTTAAAATCACACAGCTCTGGATAGATGAAACAGCAACACTCATATTTTGTTTCTGGTCATGATGCTCAGAGCAGAGCCACTGTCCGCTAGCTAGCTGTCACTCTCTTGGACACTATGAGAAAGTGCACATTCAACCAAAATTGGCTATATTGCCAAGATTTCGCAGCATGGGTGACACCGGTACATGGCAACTTAGGGTATTTTATGCAATATGTTTCTTACAGTAAGGTAAGATAAACGATAATGTCCCTGAGAGGCAATTTAAGATAAGCAATATCAGACGGGTCAAAGGACTCAGCACGGTGGTAGAATCCCACATACAGAGTGAGAAACACAAAATCGGCAAGAAAACCTGCCAACAGTTTTAATTGTAATAAGATGTAAAAGCAAACATTTCACTTAGAAGACTGACTTGAGTTTGCATTTAGTTTACTGGAGAATGCCTAGAAAATTCCTTCCCAGACATGTTTAGGGACATAATTCTGTATGAGATACATTACATCCAGCATCATTCCTCATACGGTGATAATATACCTTACTGAGTGACAACAGTAACCATATAAAGCATTTAATAAAAGTTGATAAATATTGAGTTTCTTTATATTCTTGCAGCAGTTCTGTCCCTTTTTAAAAAAGAATTAGCACAATTGTATTTATTTATTTTTTATTAAACATTAGATGTCCTTACTTCGTTCTAATGACAAAGTCAATATGATATTTGACATTTTTGTGCTGCATCTGGCTTTCAGACCAGACTTGTGAAACCTAGTTTTTGGTGTGTTTCCCTTTAAGGTCAGTATGCAGCCTTGTAAATAAGATTGGTTAACCACACACTTAGCTTGTGGTATTTTTCTGGAGATTTTCCCAGCTCAAGTGACAAGCATTAGACAGGCTCACACAAAGTAACGTTAAATGTGGACCGACATGAATGCACCATTCATCTGCAGGGCCGAGATTATTTCCATTGATTCCTATTTTTAGAAAATAAGAAACTGATTCATAAATAAATCAGCCTGCACAGATATAGATAATCCAGCATACTGAAGTACACATCTACCATTTTTAAGGCACAGACTGTGACCTCTTTTTCTTTGCTTATTCTTTGAATATACATTCACTTTTTAGATTATGTTAGACTTTGTTTTATTTATGCAATATTATTTGTGGTGGTTTTGTGTTAAGATCAAATTAGACAGTGATACGTGTGGGAAGACTGGCTCACTTTGTCAGATGGAAAAAAAGTAAATGTACATATATCTTAACGTGGGCTATCAAAGAAATCTGTCTCTTGGTATCTGTAATATAAAATTCAAAAGTCATGTTCCTCCTCCTCCTCCTCGTAGCACACCAATGGCATCAGCCCCACATGAACGAAAACAACTAATCAGAGCCGAGGAGTCTCATGGCTGTCAGTCATGTCAGTCACAGCTTGTGAACTTTTGTTTCTATGATTTTTTTCTAATAGATCATCTGTCTCATGTATGTCTTTAAGAATATAGTGACAGTTTCGGCAAATATGACAAGGTTATTTTCATCAAAGTTACCAACTGCAGCTTTAAGTCATTTATTAGCAGAAATAGGCCTCCCAAACATAACCTGGTTCCAGCATGTTTTAGTTTTATATCACTGTAAATTTGATGTCTATGAGTTTTGGATCATCAGTTCCACAAAATGAGATCTAATGACGTCCCCATGGACTGTGGGAAATTTTTAAACTGCGTTTGTATACTTAGCAGGAATTGTCCCGTGCTGTTTGTAAACACAACATTTAAACTTGGCCCCACCTTCTAACACCTCCTGTACTTACACAGCAAGATACAAGTTAACTAAGTTAACCACCTGTATCTACCAGTCCAACAGAAAACAGGCCGACTCCATGTCTGTCTTTATTCAACCCTCTCCTTCAGTGCTCGCCAGTTAAAGTTTCAGACAACCCCAGACTCACTCCTGTTTTGGAACGAGCTTTGTCCACATAGTGTTTCACCTCACTATATTTGTGTTTCTGGCACTGTATCTGCGACCTTTGTAGCTTCCTGTTGTATGTGTGCTGCTCCTACCGGGTCGATACCTTTTTTATAAATTCCTGACATCACCTGTGAGCTGTCATTGGCTGGGGGCTACACGCCTCTGCTCGAAGTTTGCAGCCCATTAATGTCCTGAACATATAAAAATAAGAAGAAAATGTAGCCCGAGGGCAGAGTCTCTTCAGATAAACACGAAAAGTAAAAGGGATTTTTTCATAGCTGCACTTCAGGTTGTATAGAATTGCCATTGAAAATCACTCTGTTATAATTACAGTGTTTTTCCTGATGTCAGGAATCACAAATGTATTTACTAAGATCTAGTGTAAATTTGCTCTGCAGCACACAATCCTCACTGTTCTCACTGCTGTCCTAATTACCCTCAGCACCTCTGGGAATTTGTGATTACAGTGCATGTTTTTGTTCCCCTGCCAAACCTCTCATTTTCTGTTGTGTTTGCAGCTTTCAGTAAACACTTCACAGCATTGTTGGGTGGGAAAGTGCCGCTTTTAGCTTCTGTATCACTCACTGAAATCTGAGCAGTCTCTGTGTTACTGGGACCAGAGGGATCGCTTTAGAAAAGTTCCCTCACTGTGTTCCCTCCTCTCTTGTTCCTACAGGTACTACGCAGTGCTTTACCCAATGATCTACCCCATGAAGATCACAGGAAACCGGGCGGTGGTTGTCATCGCCTATGTGTGGCTGCACTCCCTGGTGGGCAGTCTGCCTCCTCTTTTCGGCTGGTCCTCCTTTGAGTTTGACTGCTTCAAGTGGACCTGTGTTGCATCTTGGCACAGAGAGCCGAGCTACACCGCCTTCTGGGTCACCTGGTGCATCCTCCCCCCCTTGTTCATCATGCTGGCTTGTTATGGTGTAATTTTCCGTGTTGCCCGTATGAAAGCCAGGAAAGTACACTGTGGGACAGTTGTTGTGGCCCAGGATGACTCCACTGGAGCTCAGAGGAATGGACGCAAAAACTCAAGCACCTCAACTTCCTCTAATGGTAGCCGGCGGAGCCTGGTGTATGCAGGGAGCCAGTGCAAGGCTTTTGTAACCATCTTAGTGGTGATCGGCACCTTCCTCATGACCTGGGGGCCGTATGTTGGGGTGGTGTGCACGGAAGCTTTGTGGGGACAAGGGAGTGTGTCTCAGGGACTGGAGACTTTGGTAGCATGGCTGTCGTTCTGCAGCGCGGTGTGTCACCCTCTCATCTATGGTCTGTGGAATAAGACGGTGAGGAAGGAGCTGCTGGGGATGTGTTTCGGAGATCGCTATTATAGAGAGTCGTTTGCCACGCGGCAAAGGACGTCCCGCCTCTTCAGCATCTCCAACAGAATCACAGGTGGGAGAGCAGCAGGGACTCTGTTGTGCAAATCAGTTCAAAGGAAGGTTGACATCAGCCTGTATATTTATTTATTACTTGCGATAGTATATGAAAAGAACAATGTTCAGGAAGATACACATAGACATACAGCCAAAACAAGGACAACAGAGCTGAACAAATATAAGAAAACATAACTATTATGTACGGACAAGTAGGTACAATGTCTGTATTAGACTATTTCTGTAAAAAGTGATACATACATATACAGTACAGGCCAAAAGTTTGGACACACCTTCTCATTCAATGCGTTTTCTTTATTTTCATGACTATTTACATTGTAGATTCTCACTGAAGGCATCAAAACTATGAATGAACACATGTGGAGTTATGTACTTAACAAAAAAAGGTGAAATAACTGAAAACATGTTTTATATTCTAGTTTCTTCAAAATAGCCACCCTTTGCTCTGATTACTGCTTTGCACACTCTTGGCATTCTCTCCATGAGCTTCAAGAGGTAGTCACCTGAAATGGTTTCCACTTCACAGGTGTGCCTTATCAGGGTTAATTAGTGGAATTTCTTGCTTTATCAATGGGGTTGGAACCATCAGTTGTGTTGTGCACAAGTCAGGTTAATACACAGCCGACAGCCCTATTGGACAACTGTTAAAATTCATATTATGGCAAGAACCAATCAGCTAACTAAAGAAAAACGAGTGGCCATCATTACTTTAAGAAATGAAGGTCAGTCAGTCCGGAAAATTGCAAAAACTTTAAATGTGTCCCCAAGTGGAGTCGCAAAAACGGTCGAGTCGGTTCCAACCGCCGTGTCTTTGTGAGACGCAGAAAAGGTGAACGGATGGATTCCACATGCCTGGTTCCCACTGTGAAGCATGGAGGAGGAGGTGTGATGGTGTGGGGGTGTTTTGCTGGTGACACTGTTGGGGATTTATTCAAAATGAAGGCACACTGAACCAGCATGGCTACCACAGCATCCTGCAGCGACATGCCATCCCATCCGGTTTGCGTTTAGTTGGACGATCATTTATTTTTCAACAGGACAATGACCCCAAACACACCTCCAGGCTGTGTAAGGGCTATTTGACCAAGAAGGAGAGTGATGGAGTGCTGCGGCAGATGACCTGGCCTCCACAGTCACCGGACCTGAACCCAATCGAGATGGTTTGGGGTGAGCTGGACCGCAGAGTGAAGGCAAAGGGGCCAACAAGTGCTAAACACCTCTGGGAACTCCTTCAAGACTGTTGGAAAACCATTTCAGGTGACTACCTCTTGAAGCTCATGGAGAGAATGCCAAGAGTGTGCAAAGCAGTAATCAGAGCAAAGGGTGGCTATTTTGAAGAAACTAGAATATAAAACATGTTTTCAGTTATTTCACCTTTTTTTGTTAAGTACATAACTCCACATGTGTTCATTCATAGTTTTGATGCCTTCAGTGAGAATCTACAATGTAAATAGTCATGAAAATAAAGAAAACGCATTGAATGAGAAGGTGTGTCCAAACTTTTGGCCTGTACTGTATATATAACAGTGAAAGGTTGGGTGCTGGTGCAGCGTGTACACATGTCTATGAACAGTATATACAGCCTGTTTAGATTTACATTCCTGTGTTGTTGTTATTTCATGTGTTGTGTTGGATGATGTTGCTTGTGTTCTTTCAGATTTGGGTATGTCCCCACACCTGACAGCCATGCTGGCTGGTGGAGGGCATCTGCTGGCCCCAGGGAGCAGCACAGGAGATACTGGCTTCAGTTTCACTCAGGACTCATGTAAGTGTTGCAAACAGGAAGCAGAAGGAATGGGAAGAAACACAGAAAAGTGTCCATCAAGAACACACTAAAAAACCAAATATTTTTAGTCTGCGTACTGAGTGTTTTGAGTGTACATTATTTCATCACTTTTCCACTGTGAACACACAACATGCTCAGGATTGGAAGGAGCCAAAAACCAAAAGTAATCTATAGAGTAGCTGGTAGATTTTGGAATTTGGCAGTCACGGCGCTAGGTGGACAAAAACAGTTCATTTCCAACCCTGATCAGAATAAGTATGCAGTATGGATCTGGGACACAGCTAATCTCCAGATGTTTTCCTTATGTCAGAAAGGCATCTCAAGATTTCCCACACATTTATTTATTTGCAGCGGCCTGTCATGATAACATCTGCCGCCACGTATTGATTTTATATTTTTGGAGCTGGACCGTTCATTAGCAGCGCTGTTGGAACATTTATAGCTGTTCGATTAATAAGTGAACCACACTCTTAGAGCGCAGGGCGGCGCAGAGGAAGGCCAGGCACAGTGAAAGTGAAGCTCAACCGTTCATTGCACTGGGTCTAAGTGTTTGCATTCACTTGCCTCTGCAACACCTGCTCCTCTCCTCCATCACTCTGATCAGCTCTGATTGGATAGACTGATCAGTTATTTACCCCACATGTCAAACTCCACAAACTGCTGATGAGGAAAAAAGAACTCATGAAGAGCTTTGCCTGTGCTGCGTTCACAATAATTGATTAATTATTTTGTCCATGAAATGTCAGAAAATAGTGAAACATTTACAAATTATCCAGAGCCCAAGGAGACATCTTCAAATTATTTCTAAAACCCAATGATATTAATTTACAATGAGGTAACACAGAGACAACAGCAAATTATCACTTCTGAGAAGCTGGAACCTGAAAACTTAAATATTTTTCTTCAGTTTTCCTAAAACAAAAAATCATAATTGGTGGGTGATCAACTAACTAATTGCTAATCATCATTTTACTGGGATATATTAGGTTAACAGCCAGCCAGCGGTTGTTATGTTAGCATCTGTACAGACAGATGTGTTAACTTTGCTTTTTAAAACTCAATCATTGATCATAACTTGAACATAAAATGGAGATAGATGATTCATGGCATGTGTAAACATGATGTTGTAAAAGGTGTACAATCTGTATTGCATCATACTCCCACAGCTTTGTCACAGTCAGTCTCACATTCCTGTTTCACAGCTCATGTTTTAGCTCAGGATGGCAAGTAATGTCATGTAATACAAAGAAACGTCTAATAAACTAACTCATTTCTTGCGTCTTTATTAAGATGGTTTCTACTTTGACATTTTGCACTCAATTACCCCTCCTTTTTTTGTCTGTGAATGTTTCCCACACAGGCACAGACGTGATGTTGCTGGACAACTTCTCCACAGATGGCTCGTCATACCCACAGAACCACGGGAATCTGACTGGAAAGAGGAGGAGCTCTGTCACCTTTGAAGACCAGGTGGAGCAAGCTAAAGGTATGTGTCAGTTCCACTGCTCCACAACAGATTATAGGGAGTTCACGTCTTACTCACTGAGGGTTTCATCAAGCTTCAAAACAAAACACAAGATTTTTTCACAACAACATGTCTAATAGCAACTGTTTTTATCCTCAGCTGAAAACACCAACACATCCTCAGTTCAGGTCCATGCAGAGGTGCACAAATCTCTCGATACCTTCGCTTCCTGTCTGGCGAAGGCTATAGAGAGCGACGCTAAGCTAACCCTGTTTGGGGAGGGTCTGGCTCTGCCAGGGGGACTGTTTACAACCAGGGCAGCACCAAGACCCAGATACCTGGACGGTCAGAGACTGAGGCTTGAAAGTATCGATGAAGGGATTGTTAAAGATGACAGAGATGATGAAGACGAAGAGCAGGACATGGAGGAAAAACCGGCCTGAGCACAGCAGGTCTGTTCATTTGTCGAACATGTTAAATATACCATACTCAGTTTATCAGTGAACTGCAAGGGTCTCACACCCTCAACACCACTATATGTGACCATCCGGAGCGGTCTGTGGTGCAGTTCATGAAGTCTGATCTCTCTACACATGGGTACTCCATACTTGAAATTATTAGGAAACAGGAAGAGGCACATTTTTCCTTCCACTGTGTTGGACCAAGTGCACACCACCAGTGTCTTTGCAAGCCTTTGTATGGATTCATGTAATCAAATAGGAAGCCTTAACTACTGTAACCTAAGTGATGGATTGTTGTAGCGATGTGTTTACTCTATTTTATATGACAGAAGATTCTAGCTTCCAAAAGACTCATAACACTGTTATCAGATTACTTTAATATTTCGCTTTTATTGTGATTAGAAAAGTAAGTTTCAAGCCTGATCCTCTCTTATTCAGGTACAGAGAAAGAGCCAGTTTGTGCTTATACTGGTCCACATACACAGGTGTTTCCACTTCACTGTGCCTGCAGAGTTGGACCTGTGATAGTTAAGTACTGTGCCTTGACAATTTAACACCATATTCATTACTTAAGGTGTTATTTACCTTGAATGACAGGCTTCGGCTGTTGTGAGGCGTCCATATTTTTTCGTTTCTCAGACACTTATGTGATATTAAAGGGATTGTTTGGGTCTTTTGAAGTGGGGTTGTATGAGGCACTTATCCACAGTGTTAGGGTTGCAGCAATATCCTGGTTTTAAGGTATACCGTGATACAAAAGGTGACTCTTATCATACCATGTATATTTGCTTATCTACAATACTAAAAATATAAATTCCGTAATACCATGATACCAAGAAACCATGATATTTTCTGAGATGTTATCGTACAGTGAAGATCTCATACCGTTGCAACCCTAGACAGTGTGTATTACATACAGTAGATGTCAGTTGGCACACACCCAGTTTAAAGAAGTAGACAGGACAACTGTCACTGAAGTAAAGCAAAGTACTGCTATGGAGGAGTTACCCTAAAAACTCCATATCAGTATAAGTGCACGTTATATTTAGAATATTTTCTAAAGCTAAAGTAGTTCAATCGATCTACTCAAAGCCGAAATCCGTTAAGAAGGACTGTGATTTAATGTCGCTGAACACAGGAGCTGCTGGTCAGCCAGCTGCTCCTGTGTTCAGCGAGCCCAAATTACTCTTTTTGTCAATGGAGTCTGGCTGGAGTCTGGAGAGCATAGATGGGGAACTGAAGCTTTTAACGGCTTCCCTGTTTGAGCAGGCTAACAGAAAGGTAAAGCAGTGAAATTATTCTAAAAATACCGTACACTTAAACTGATATTGGGTTTTTTAGTGGGACTTTTTTAGGTGGCTAAAAACGGTATAGCTGCTGGTTCCCTCCACAGCAGTAGATTGCTTAGCGTCCGTGTCGGCACACATTACTGTAAGTACTGCACAGACTATGGATAAGTAACTCAAATGACACAAATTAAAAAAAAATAAAAAATCAGAACTTTCTCTTAAAATGCCAAGTCACATTTATCACAAAAATCTGAGTTTTCGATCATAATTACAACTCGGTTTTTGAAGTGAACTCTATTTACAAGTTTGACCCCACAATGAATACTTTGGTATGACATGTAAGGAGAGGTCTGATCGGCCAGAATCAGTAAAAACACCTGTGCAGGACCTTTAATGCAATAAAGCACATTTTTAAGGGGGCAGGTAACAGTGTTGTAAGTCTTTTGGGTGATAGGAGTTACAGATTTTCTGTTCAGACAAGATAGATTTGTGTTTTCAAAGCAGAAGGTTGTCTTCTGACACTGCATGTTGTTTACATTTAGACAACTTGTGTTATAATTCTGACTGATGATCACATTGCACAGCAGCGTGGTAATGAGAGGGAAGACACTCTTGATATGTTAGAAATCTTTCTGAAGAATTTTGATGAGGAAAAAACCTTTTTTCACAGGAGACATTTTGACAGGTCACAGGAGAAAAGAAATCAACAATGTCTGAATCCTGTTTAGCTCCTTCAGTTTCTAGGTCCTGGCTTTGTGCATGGTGGCTCACTGTCAGGATTCACAGAGCCATCATTAATGTTATTAGTGACACCTTTTCTTTTCCTACTATGACGAGTCAAAATGTGCTGTGAAAAAAGCCTATTCATGTGGACTGAAAACACAAAGTTACCTGAAGGTGTCGACTGATGTCCTGTTCAAGGGTTACTGACGAAAACCAAACCATGACCCTCAACAGTCCCTCCAGGATTTTGCAAGCTGGTTTTGGGGGAAGTGAAAATTGTATGGTTGTGATGCTGTCACAGATTCAAAGCTTATTATTATTATTATTATTATTATTATTATTATTATTATGAGCATTTGGTGTTTCCCACAGTCAATAGCATCAGTATCAACAGCTGGAATCAAAGGGGATTGGCTGTATTTTAATTGTTACGATCGCAACATCCTGGAGGGATTGTCTGAATAGGAATTAATGTGTATAGGAAATGTATGGATTTAAAGAGTTAATTGTGTAATTAATCATAAGAAAACCTCAAATTATAGTGATACAGTTTGTCTATGTATCAACCAACTCTGAGCTTCATCATACGAACATGTGTTTGATTAGGTACGTGCACAGCGAGTAGGATCAGAGACGGTCTTGACATTTCATGATTATCTGCTACAGTAATTGCACTTGAACATGCACGTTGTGCTTGTTCTCATAGAAACCACTTTAACTGTGTGTCAGAGACGGCGACTAGTACTGTTTGGTCAGTATTGCATATCGTATGTAGGAAAGACGACATTAAGTATCAATTAGATGGGCTAAGGAGTAAATGAAGTCCAAAATAAGGTCATTTGGAGACTGACTGTTATCAGTGTTTAAAACATTGTTATATTAATGAAATTGCTTTAGGAAAAGCCTTCATTTCTGAATATTGTGCACATATTGAGCAGTGCAAGACGTTCATGTTTGTTGCTATATTGGTCTTCAAAAGTCAAAGATGAAGATTGTCTTAATCTACAACAGTGTGTCTTAGTAAATACTCTTTGGTACATGTGGTTTACCTCAGTTTACACACTCCACCGCTCCCTTTACTGTTGTTAAAGAAACTCAGAGAGGACTTTTGTACTAAGTAGAGCGCTTCAGTCTTACCTCATATCTTCATATTATGTGTGAACGGTACTATACACATGAGAAGTGATGTAACCTTTTGATTTTCACTATACAGTAAGTATTAATTCAAATATTTGCATTAAAGTTTTGTATCAAGATTCTTCTATTAAAACTTTTTTTTTTACATAAAATTCTTTGAACCAGTTTTCTATTATATTTTCCCTTTTTTGTGTTGCTGTTAGGCTGAACCATGTTACACCTCACCTTTCTCTATTTCCTTTAAGACTGTGGATAGCCGATAGTCATACCAATGCCACAGGAAACTGCTGTGACATCATCTTCAAGGTGACACTCGCTGAATCCTCTCATGAGCTCTGTGTGATTAGAAAAGAGCAGACGAACAGAACTGACTCTTGACGGCGCTAAAAAAAAAGTGCCTCTGGTGTGAACAGTCAGGCTACTGCTTGTGACTTATATCAGCTCTTCCATGTCCAGTGTGAATCAGGCGTTGGTGTCTTTACAACAGCTTCTACAACAATGACCATATGTCGAGCAGTGTTTAACAGCAGTCTCACTCAGTATTTGACCAGTTTGTGCCTGTCATATTTAACCATCATATTCATGTCAAATACCCAGCGAGGATTTAAAAATCGAGGTCATTTAACAACAGTTACTAATATCCTTAAAGGGATAACTCTCAACTTCATGTGTGAAAGAAGTTGTGTGAAGCTGTTCGAGCTGCACTTACTGTCCTCAAGTGATGCCACTTGAGTCAGTGCCAGCTGAGTCTGAAGGCTATACGTTTGAAATGGCTCCAGGATACATTAGCTGTTGCGGACACACAAGTGGGCTTAAGGAGACCACACAGGTGTGAACTGACTCGTCTTAAACCTTCAGCTAATGACAGAGCAAGTTGTTTCTGCAGTGTGATGGATGAGCTCTGCTGTCTAGCGTTAACTCGTTAGGTGGTCATTTTCAATTTGTTACTTTAATGCACAGTCATCTTAAGCGTATCTGTTGGTGCAGACATCTTTGAGATGCCATAGCTTTATTTTTTCCAAATTCTGTAAAAGTATTATAATTCATTGACATGTCCCTGAAGAACATGAAGAACCACAGTTTCTTCTCCTCCGTCTTCGACAATAAAATTAAAGTATTCTCCAAGTATGTTTTTACTTAAAGTCCATGTTTACATGCGTAACTGCCGAAGCAGCACATCAACATTTCATAGCTTTGTGCTACAAATTCATTATGTCACACGTTAACACTGATCAAAGCTCACTTTCTCCTAACAAAATAATATTGCACTTGACATCCTTGCACACCAGCCGCCATTATTCTCACACTTAATACTGACGTCCTTGCCTTTTTGCATTCACACAGATGTAGTTCATCCTCATACAGAAACATCAGTAAGAAAGTCGTCTTAAAAAAACACAGGGGGGGCTAGAAATTACACTAATTTTCAAAAGGAAGTATTCTACACTATACTTGTACAAATCTCAGGTTCTGTTTTCAAGTGCTATACAGCAAGAAGAAATAGTGTTTTCTTTAAAATAAATTGCCAGCAGGCTACTGCTCGTCATCGTTTTCCTGTCCTGAACCTTCGGAGCGATCACCTTCTAGTCGATCTGAAAGAAGAGAAAGACAGATATTAAAGGTATTAAACTGTTTCTGTACCCGGGTATTAACAGGCACAAATATCCACAAGTTTTATGTCTGTGTACCCGATCTGATGTGATTTAGGGAGGCCAACATTCGGAGCATGAAAGAGGCTGGAACTGTGATTGTGTTCCTCGTTTCCTCTAGCATCAGCTCGTTCCGAGTTATTACCTTGAAAGGAAAGAAGAAGAAAGATGAGAGAAGTTGAATCTGATAAACAACAGGAAGATGGGGAAGAAAGGGAAAAGTGTTTCTGACCAAAAGAGATTTCCATACGTACAAACTCTCAACCTCAAACACATCTCATTTTCTGTCAGATACAGAACCATGAATTTAATGGGGGGAGGAAGTGAGGGGATGGCATGCAAGCTTGCGGTGGCTTCAGCAAGGACATTGCCTTCGTAAAGAGAATGCCTGCTCTTCCCAGTAAGCCACCACGCACCCCATGATTCTGATTTGTTTAAGTGGTATTAAATATTAGTAAAAGACTGGTTGGCTTTTTTGGGGGGGATATAACCAAAAAAACACTGTATATTATGGTTTATGAGCGGAGCAGCATTTGGTGCTGCACGCTTAAATAAACAGATCACTTTCTCTGCAGTCATACCTCATTAGCGAGGACTCTGTTGAAAGATGGCGACTGTTCCAGTGGCGACCAAATCTTGATATCGTAGTCTATCCCTGAAGAAGCCAGAACTGAAACAGACCAGGAAGTACTCGTTAACATCGGGAGTAACACTGTCAGGATATCCTGGAGCAGAGTGAAGGTGGAGGAGGGACTCACTGGGGTCATAGGGGTGCGGCTGCAGACAGTTGACCACGTGGTTGTCGGCTTCGAGCAGCATGAGGTGTTCTGCGGTGTGTCTGTCCCAGATGAAGATGTGTCCGCAGTCCGAGCCGCTCATCACGAAGTTGTTACCCCAGAAACAGGACTCCTTTATCTGGACATCAAATTAATGAAACCACTTTAAATTTTTACACTATGAACCAGTGGTGGAATGTCAGTGTGTAAGTGTAGTGAGTTTTTAAAAGTAACTTGAAAGAAGACAGTGTTAGCTTCCCTGATCTCCTCTGGCAGGTGATGGTCAGTGTATTTTTGAATTTTAGACGGGCTGAGGCTTGCTGTTTCCCCCCCATTTCCTGTCTTTATGCTAAGCTAGGCTAACTGCCGCCTGGCTCCAGCTTCATATTTAACACACAGAATGCAAGCAAATATCTGTGTCATTCTAAACTATTATGATGTAAAGAGTGTGAGACGTACCATTGTCCTGGAGTTGCGGTGGCCTTTGTAAACCATCTTGACTGAGGGTCTCCTGATGTTCTGCGTCTCGCTCTCTTCCATCTCCCGTCGTTCTTTCCTCCTGCGAAACAGCTCCTGGATACGAGCGGCTGCGGAGCGTCTGTCAAACACAAGATAACAGATACATGTGACTTTAAAGCACGCAAAAAAAGACACACAAGCCCATGCTGTCTCTGATGCTCATGAACCCCATGCTTTGAATCTTGAGTGAAATTTGTGCTGGTTTAATCAATTCAACCAAAAAACAAACCCAAAGCTTGAAAGCAGCCACTTTAAAGGCAAAACACATCATAGCTGAATCTGTGATAAGTCTTTTCTATTAGCGACATGACACTGGTGAGTTAAATCCACACTGACTTGTGTAGTAACTAGTTGGAAAGCTTTTTATCTGTTTGGCTCATTTCCGTCATGCATACATTCTTTGGTCATTCAGCTTCTCCTCTGAACAAAATCTTAAAAATGCTGCTGTTACGTTGCTTCTCACACCATCTGTGGAGTCAGTACTCATGCACATCACTCTGAGGCCACATCCACACTAATACGTTTTTATTTTAAAACCAAAATAATTTCGTTTTAGTACTTTCAGAATTAATCTTCGTCCATACTAAGAAGCCTGAAAACGCATATCACATGCACATTAATGTACACTGGGCATACGACATAAACAGAAAGCAGATCTCACTCTGCTGGTGGCCGCTTAGTTACAGAAAAATGCTACTAAGATGGCGAAAAGCTTTCATGATTTCATTGATCGCTTAGTCACGGAGAAAAACAAAACATGAAACTCTATTTGGAGTTGCGCCTTGTCAAAATAAATCAAAACCTTTATGACTGGACCATGTGGGAATTTAATTTGAAAGGACAGACACGTGTTCACGTTAATTTCCAGGGCTGGTACCTGCGGTTATTCCACAGGCTAGTTAATAACATGTCGGGCAGGAAATCCAAAGTGTGGGATCATTTTGAGAAGGTGAAGGACGAACCCAAGGTGATATGTAAACTCATCTTCATTGGTCGACTACAAACATGACGTATCATCTGAAACATGGAAGTAGCTACATGCCCATTAGCCCACAGCGTCATTAACCATTGGCCCTGTCCAAAATATATCATTTAATAATTACATTAATATTGTAAACATGTGGGCGACTAGTCGACTAATGGCCCTAAATGATGACTATTGGTCAACTAGGAAAATTCTTAGTCAGGGGGCAGCCCTATTAAAAACGTTACTTAAAGTAATGTCCACAAGATCTGTCTTTTCCACGTTTCACCATGCACTGTCTATGTTAGCAGCTGTGCTATGCTTTCTGGTAGCGCAGTGTTGCGTTTTGAGAGACGGAGAATCTGCTCCTTTGCATGAAGTTGAATCTAAGCTAATTCATGCAAATCAGGGGCGTCCAGTGTGACTCGCCACCTCTGGAATTTCCGTAAAAACTTTTAAACTAACTTAGTCAATCTAAAATGAAGACAGCTTGAGCAGCTGTAAGAGAAAGTTAACAAATGAGCCGCCATGTTGGTCCGTTTGAAATCTGGGAGGGGACAGACAACGGGCCAGGTGGAACGCCTACCAAGTGCTCCATGCTGGGAGGTGGCATGACCCTTCATGTCAACAAATGCCTGTGTGGACACGTACTGTAACATGAGTTTAAGTCGGTCAAGGTGGAGGAAACAGGTTGGAAAGCGGAGTCGTGGCAAATACAGCGACATATTCGAGCAGTACCAGAAGCATTTTCCATCACAGGACGAAGTCATGGAGATGGGGAAGGAGTTACATTATCCACACAAAAAGACTAAAATCAGTAAAGGTATGTAGACCTAGCTATCACGTTCTGGCTTGACGTGACCTAACTGGGAAGCAAATGCAGGTGTCTGCGTCATAGATTCCAAAAGTCTCCATTTCTACCTGTCCAGACTAAAACGTAACCCCAGAGTCTTTAGACTAAAACAGGGTCAGTAGCATTTTCAAAGGTCTCAGTTTTGGAGATTCCCAAACACGGAAGGTGGACGCTAGACATAAACGTAACAACAGTTAAGCATTGTAAAACAAAAGCGTATCAGTGTGGACGTAGCGTAACTCTACAGTTAGCCGTGTATTAGTTTTCTGTGAGTGAAATGACCAAACCAAGACAAAACCCGTTATCTTCACCAAGATGTGCTGTTGAGTTTTAATACTCTGCTGCATGTCACACACCT